ACTTTGAGTCCAAATCGGCAAAGATGGCTCTTCACGAGGACCACCTGTTCGTGCTGCAAGTAGTTTTGGACCTTGGGCAACAACCACGAAGTGGCCGTGTCTGGGTGTTCATGGAGTCCATCTCCTCCACGTGACAGCTGCTCCTCCTGCATGTCCATCGAAAAGTTGAGGTGTCGCTTTGCCTCAGGTAGCTCCTCCATCAACCGTTCTGGATGTGGTCGAATGTTCTGGAGCGGTGAGAACTTCGTGCAAGGAGGGGTCGTGGTCAACAGTCGCGGTCTCCGCCGCCTCAGCTCCTGTCGAACCCATTCTTGTTGGTCCTTCTGGTTCATGTCATACCCAGTGACGAGGTCGATGGACAGGCTAGCTTTCAGACCTCTCTTTTGGGCTTCTTCCACAAGTCGTGGAGGACTGTAGAGCTCGACGACGGAGTCATTCTCTTCAGAGAGGCCACCATAGATCTCGGCAATGTCGTCTGGTTCATCGAGTTGCTTTTCCCAAAGGGTCCAATAGGCTTCCTGGCCTCCAAGTAAGTCATCCAGACTTCTCATAATCTCGCCCTTTGTCGACTTTGCCAAGGTGGTCTCATTCTCATAGGGCTCGGAGTCGGTCAGGTACTCCAAGAATTCAGGCATGAACTCATAGAGGATCAAACATGGAGTTTCCATTCCAAGATTGTAGTCTTCACCAGGCACCTGGGACACATGCACTGCGTTCCAGTGATCATCGCACTTGGTCAAAATGACCTTTCGGCTAAGGAAGGCTCTGGTGATGACAGGCGAAACTCCGCGGACACATTCACCACGAAATGTGGTTACATAGGTTGCCGCTTGATCCAAGTCCAAAGTGAACATCACCTTCTGGAAGCGACTGTCATCGTGCAACGACGTCATCTGTGACATCCAACCAGCTAATCGTTGTGCAGGAGGTTGATGTTGAATCGTCCCATCTTGGCATAGGCTACTGGCATCTCGAAGAGGAATGCTGCCAGGCCACACTGCTCCTCCATGCACTGAATCTCCACGTCCTCGGGGTTGGGAGAGTCTTTGATCACCAACATCTCCTTGCTGTTGCATCGAGGACAAATCATCGTGCCATACGCTGGTTGAACGTGGTCGTTCAAGTCGCCCCAGTGGTGGTCGCATCTCATGTTGTCGCACTTCCAAAGGAGGTTCATCGAGGGGACATGGCGACAGAGCGTGACCATGCCCGTGTGGCACACGTCGCAAGACTGAGAATGTGCTTGCCGTTGAATCTCCACCATCGCCACATCCTGGTCGCCAATCATCGCGGCAGTCTGGCCCATCTTCAGCAGGTCGTCCGCCACCACATCGCACCATGAGTTCTGATCCTCCCTGATCTCGTCCAGGTCCTGCTTGATCTCCTGCTTGACCATCGGTGGTCGTGCCTTGGACTTGTAGGCCATGGCTCTGGATGAGCTCTTTGGAGTGGTCATCAACAAGGAACTGGTGGATGAGATCGAACTCGGTGACTGGACTGTCACACTGCTGGAGGCATCGCTCGAACCTTTCTTGCTCTTGGTGGACTTCTTCCTGATGTCGTAGAAGACGTCCGGGATGTAGACCAGGTTCTGGTTCCAGTTGTGCAGTTCGGTGATCGGAGTCAATGGCATGATCTGCTTCTGCTGGCACTGATTGCACTCCTGCCATGAGAGAACTCGATTGGCTCCATGTTTCACTTCTACTTCCGGGTGAGTGCAACCCGGTGAAGGTTCCAAGGCAGGGACCAGGAATCTGCCCTTTCCTTTCACCATTGCTAGTGGTCGGACTCTCTCCTCCCGTCGTGCCATTGCCAGGGATCCAGTCAAAGCCGATGGTGTCGTGACGTGAGCTTCGGCTAGAACTCGCTGTTCCTCCTGTGCCAATTGGAAGGCTTGTTGCTCCAAATGCTCTCGTCGCTGTTGTAGCCAGCGGACTTCTCGAAGTTGGGGTGTTCGCACAACTTCCTGGAGCACTTGCCAAGCTTGAAGGGAGGCCGATAGTAGAAATCGCAGCAACAAGCGCCGCCAGCGGCACCATAGCTGCTGGATAGTGCGACAGGGCATCCAGCGTAGCCCAGTCGGGAATGGGCTCGACCGACCAAGCTTGGCTGGAACTTGCTGCAAAATTCGAAGGCACATTGAAACCACTCTTGCCAAAATCAATGATAGAAACCGAGACGTGGCCTGATGACAACCTTCTCATGTTTTGACTTGTTGCTAACTTTGTGTACCAAATCACAGCATGCTCCATGTCAATGACGGCTCCGACGTTCGAGAGGAAGTAGGCAGGAATGAGGAAAGGTATTGTTCCGGGGACCACCTGAACACGAAGTACACCTGACTTGCCCCCGAGACCGATTGGCACATAGGCAATAGATGTGCTTTCCTCCTTCCCGCAAACACCACGAACACTACCTCCGGCTTCATGAGACCATTGAACACGCAAACCAAATCTTTCTTGTAGGAGGGTGTCATGTTGCTCCAATGTTTCACGACCAACCAATCCATGTTGGGCAGCTGTATCAACCAAAGCGGTGCCCTGATCTTCATGAACCGCTAGAAAAACAAAGCTCAAGCCGGTGAACTCAGCTGCAATGTATTCGCTCTTGGTTTCAAGCTCATTGGTGGTCGTGAGAAAGGCCCCTGCCAGTTTAGCAGGTGGCTGAATGAAAAAGCCGGTACTCATGCCGGTGCTCATGGCGCCCGTGGAACTTGAACTTCTCGAAGTCGGTGAAGTGGTCTTGGCCCGATGTGGGCATTCTTTGCTCCAATGGCCAACCTGCTTGCAAGTGTGGCAGCGGGTTTTGGCCTTCAAGTCATTCAGGCTCATGCGGGATCCGGTTCTTGTCCATGGTCGGTCGTATCCACGACCGTTGCGGCTAGCTTGCAAAAGGCGTCTATGCTCGAGGTAGCCGCCGCCCTTGCCAGAGCCAAAACTAGGTGCACCCTGGCCGTAGGTCCGTGTGGGACTCTTGCTCTTTCCCTTCTTTCCTTTGCCCTTGAAGCCTTTTCCTTTGCTCTGCATGCGGTTGTGTGCCTCGTAGTAGATCTCCTCGATCTGGTTGGAAACCGCTTCCAGAGCATCAGCCTCATCCATGATGACGGGCAATTCATCTTGGAAGACCATTTGCGCTTCTTCGTTCTCATTCATGCAAATCAGGTCCTCGAAGGGGTCCATCAGCTCAGACTCGAAGACGTCATAGTCCCAGTCCTCATCTTCAATCTCTCCATCTTCATTGTCACCCCAGTAGGTGGCACTTCGCCATCGTCGATGAGGTGCTCCATGGTCTTGGGAGAGTTCATCAAGTCGGTCACCAAAGACCTTCTGGATAGCCATCTCGATCTCCCGAAAGTCGATCGATCCATTGGTCACGACCTTCAACCTCTGACGTTGATCTTGGCTGAATGACCCTTGGCGAAGGATCAGATGGCCAAGAAGGTGTCTACCAGCTGGCGTCGCCAAAAGGTCGAGGCCTTGTTTTCTCAACTCTGCAAATGCCGCCTTCTTGTTCGTCAGGAAGGTGGTCAGGGACATTCCTTTGTCCCGGCGGCCTCGAAAGATGGCCTCGTCAAAGGCCTGCTCCAAACGCTGGTCCTTGAGGTATTCATGGGCGTCCTCGATGATCTGAACGATCGTCTTGTGCCCGGTGTCCGAGCAAATCTCTTCCACCGTCAGGTGGGCAACCAAGGAGCTCAATCGTGAGCCCAAAGGGATGGCATCAATGATGCGCTTGCCAATCAAATTCAAAGGCAACCTCGCCTCTGCCTCCACCAGCCACAACTGTAAATTTCTCTGGTACTCGCGGAACTGCTTCTCTGGCATTTCGCCGCCCCAACTCGGAGCAGGGTCAAGGCGGTAGTCCACGTGTTTCTTGGGCTCCCGGCCTTCATTGCCGGACTTCGGAGTGGCAGGATGCGAAGGCATACGAGGCGGTGTAGTAGCCAGCCTAGGCGGACCAGTGAGAGCTCTGCTCCATGGATCTTCTGGCTCATCATGGAGTCCCGGGTCAACGGGTTGAGATTCTCCCAAAGGTCGTTGGGGACTATGCGGAGGCATGGGTGTAGCCGTCGGCGGAGTGGGGGATGTACCGGATGGGTTCATCGATGAAGTGGCTCCAGTCCCACGCCAAGTCCTAGCTGGCGGTGGCATTCCACCAAAGGCCAATGGCCGAAAACAAGGAACAAACTTCCCAGCGCAACCTGGTAATCGAAGGGCTCCAAGAAATAGTAACTTCCCCAAAATCCCTGGGTAGAACCACCGCGAGAACGCGGTCCAAACAAAGCGTCGAGCAGCCGGGGGGCGTCCCCCCCGAGACCAACTCAAACACGTCCTCGCGGGAGCCCCAGTCGTCACCGGGGCTCCGCTACCACTGTTGAGCCGCACGAAGATCGGCCGTTTTCCTCGCCATGAACGAAAGGGGGCTCAAGGCGCCTCGTAAGGCACATGAAGGTTGGGCCAAATGGTGGCCAGCGGGAAAGGGGTTCCGGACCCTGGGTCATGAGCATGCTCTGAATGCTATGCATTTCCACACAGTCTCTGGTAGCCGGTAGCCTTGGATAGTGGATCTCACACAGTCGCCGCATCCATGCCGTTCTTCACGTCAAGTGTTTCGGTCATTGCGTATATGAGTATATGCATACATACTCACACCATCGATATTCAAGCAAGCAAAAACGTCTATTACTGCATGGGCCAATAGCTACCCTGCATCACCCCACACTTTCGCCAAAACCACTCAATGTTTCTCGATTCCTCGATTCCGTCTTCACTTGACAGAGTAGAGTGCCTAAATAAGCCCTGCTTTCGTGCTTCAGAGCTTGAAATCACCGCATCCTGCCCTTCAGGTGACGGTTATTGGTTTTGTCTACAAGCTACCCTTGTTCTTTCAAGCTCACTGATCTCAAAGAAAAACTGACGAAACTCTGGATCGTGCTTCAGGGACCCAGGCCGGATGTGGTTCGAGTGCAGCTGCGGTTCGAGTGCAGTGTCGTCTTGCATGCATTTACCACACCACCGAGGCCACGTGCTCACTACCAGAGCTCAAGAGCTTCTGAGTGATCACATCTACTGCAACAGAAACGTTTGTCTCCTTCGCAGGGCCATGAACCCTGATCTGCTTTCCTCTCGCTTGTTCCGCCATCCCATTCGAGGAAATCCACTTCGAGCCAGCAAATCGGAAAATATGAAGGGCGTGTGGGGAATCCAGAGCCAAATATAAACAATCAAACTGGCCAAACTTGACACCGTCGAACAAGCAATTCCAAGAATCATGAGACCACATTGGCCTCGACGATTTGCATTCAAAGCGCAAACCATCTCTATGCCAGTCGCAGGGTGAATTATACACTGTTGAACCTGCATGCGCCGAACCAGGATGGCTAAGCAAATCTACTTCCTCCACCACATGCTGGAGCAAAATGCCGCGTGCTGCAGGTGTCATGTGGCTCAAGGGATGCTGAGCAAATGCATCACGTTGGAGCTTCAATGAAAGTTGTTCGGTGTGCTGCTGCACAGCTGCAACCACCAACTCATTGGAGGTCTTGAGCTGAGTGATGAACAGACCGCACTGCCGAAGTTTCTTCAGTAGCACGCCTTCTGCCTCTCTCCAGTCCACCATGCCTCTTGCACTGTACATATTCAATCCAAGTCCAGAATGAGCCGTTGCAACTCCTCTTGTTGAAAGCCTGCTCTTGCAATCATGAGTATACAAATGCAGCCCAGAGGGGCTGTACAGGACCAATACCAAGTCATCAAACGCATGTAATTTAATTCCACAAAAATTAGCTCTCCACGTGCCTTTTGATTCGGACCAACACATTTGAGCTGACTTGCACTGCGTTCTTCTGCCATCAAAGAGCCAATCGTATTCAGCACAATGTAAGGCACGCCTCCTCCCATCACATCGATGCCCAGGTATTGGATCTTCAACCCTGGAACCTGGGTAAAGTCTTGCAAAAAATCTCCGAGCCACTGTTTCAATCACTGTTCCCCGTCGTGTTGGTGTGATCTGAGCAAGTGGGCAGTCTGCATATGCAGCCCTTGTAATTGAGATTGTATCCTTTCCCCAATCTTGGGGAGCTTCCAAGGAAGACCAAGGGATTATGCAAACATGACGCACACATGGCCTCCACAAAACGACAACAGATTTGGAATGCAGTTCCCTTGCCAAGAGCCGCAAACTCATGGGCAGCTCTCTGGACAAAGCTAGCAAAGTGCTTTGAGCCAAATTTTGGTTCCATCAGTCTATCAGTGTTGATAAAGCTCATCCCAAAACAAAACGACCCCTCCGGACCCCTCCCCGTATATTACTACTTTTGGACAGGATGGCTACAGGAATGTACTTTTGCCTCTTGGTCTCTACTGCCAGCAATAAGTTGACCTCAGCTTGGCACGAAGTATGCTGGAAGAGTCTCCATCAATGGATCATCGAGGGGCTACGAGGGGCTACGAGGATCAATTTGTCCCAAAAAGAAAAAGTTCATCATCGATACTGTATGTATCTGTGATTATGTCAATCCTTGGCATGTAGACCCAAACTAATCTTGGAGTACTAGTATCTCTTAAGCAAGAAACGATACTGTTCCACAAGTTCCACTCCGATAACTTGGATTGAAAACGACAAATCTAAACCAAGCATCGCATTGGGACCCACTACGGTTGCCTTGCTATTTGAGATCTCCAGCTTGGTCACAGCTTTGACCGCAAGTGCCAGTGCGGGCCATGAAAGGCGGAGCATTGGATGTCTACCACCAGCTAGCGTGACGTTGTATTATGGTTGAAGAGGTAATTAGTCTCTCTGTTAGGTTTGCCAGCTTGCTGACCTTGCATCTGTAAGAGACATATTCTGCTTTATTCTGTATCTAGCTAATCTAGCTGCCGAATGATAAGTGCATCATTTCTTCAAAACAGATGCTTTACTTATAGTGTTCTACCAGATTCTGTGACTTGCACCGGTCTTCGGAGTTCCTTCGACTTGGCCAGAAACCGAAGTTCCACACCGATGGAACTTGATGCGCCACGCCACGGTCTTCACGCCGCCTCGTCACCGCCTTCGGTCCTCCACGTCCCTCTTCTTTCGCAGGGGCAAGATCAATTTCGCGAAGGAGGAGAAGGACACTAAGCCTCGGGTAGCGAGAGCACATTTTTGCCAAGAAAGGAATGAAGACACGGCCATGTCCAAGCAGGCCCAGGAGGTGCTCAGGAGATGCTCAGGATGACAAGGTCAGAAGCATCTGGTTGTCGAACTATGGGATGGATTGAACGATGGGTCGAACTATCCAAGCTCATCCTATATTTAAAAGGTTGTTGTATATACAGATTTGGATTCTCAGGTCAAAACAGTTCAACAAAAGGGCTCTTCACCTGATCTGTACTCCCCGAATTAAGGGGATGGAATTGAAATACATCTCAACCAACACCCTGGAAGCCCCTGGTGTCTTTTTTCCACAGTCATCAGGCGTGGAAAACCACCGACATCCATCGCCATGTGTCCAAATCTCAGTTCAAGTGATCCGAGTACGGTCGGGTCACTTTGGAGAGAAGAACAACAGCATTGTGGTGTGGGGTCTTTTCCTTTTGACCCACACAGAAAAGAAACGCATGTCGCATGTCTTTCATTCCAATGCACGGGAATGAGCATCCCGGTTTGAATCCATCCAACAACTTGAACGTCCCCATGATTGAAGCATCTTGCATCTTTATCTTCCCAGGGCGCTGCGTAACAAGTAACTGGTAAACGACCGTCTGTGTCTTCATGCGTCTTTCCACCTTCTTATGGGTTCTATCTGGATCCTGTCTGCGAACTGCCTTGGCGCACCAAGTGGACCTCCAACTCAGTAATATGCAATATATTCACATGGCCTTGTTAAAGACTCCACCACAATTTCACCCGCTTGTCTCTCGGTAAAAAACTTGCTTTTTTGCACCCTTCCAAGAGAGAGGTCGGCTGGGTAGTCAACAAATATTAGTGAGACTCATTCCAAGACCCTGAGGTGATCCTGTTTCTGTTCAAGAATACACTCCCACTCACTAACATGGACGTGGAAAACCACCTGTTCGTAGAGCGAGATGGTGTTCCTGGGACCTATTTCCCACTTCCAAGTGAGTCAGAGTCAGACTGTAACATCTTCAATCTAAAGGCAGGGTGAAAGAGCTGGCAAACTCACAGAGACTGCTCTAGTCAGGGTCTTCTTCCCTAAACTACTAGGGAGTTGTGCCGGCGGAAACTCATCTAGAATCTTGACTGATAAAACCTGCCCATTTGGATGGTATATGGGGGGGGTATATTAATCAAGAGTCTACATGATGTAAATGAGCTTAAAATGATATCCCCTCCATTCAGTTGCCGGCATCCACTTGGGCAAACCCGAGTAGCACTGATGTGAAAACGGACAAATGAAAACGTATGTTTTCCAGGTCCATTAAATCGGATCGAAGGGACAAATCTCATCCTCCTCCTTGAGCTCATGAAAGATCTCCATGCAGGCATCCCGGACCTCATGAGGTCGCTACCAAAAGCAGCTGAGAATGTTGTTCGGTCGCTCCAAAGTGTAAGGGAAAATAACCAAACACACTAAGGTGTCCAAATGAGTTGCTGCTATGTGGCAGCCTTTGTGGGTGGCATTCACTGTAGTCCACCTTTGATCATAGGGCACAACTCTCTCCTCGTGAGCATCACTCTCCACCATAGGGCTTGATCAAATTTACTGTTCCGTGGTGAACTTTGGTGGTTTAGGGGCCAAGGACATGCGCCAAACTCTTCATGGAAAAAGCAAAGTGCCCCACTGAGAAGTAGTTTAACCAGGTGAAGAATGGTCTTCAAATGTCGTTACAGCCTGTTCCGCAAGAAAAGGTGCAGAAGTTTTTAGGCGTAGCTGGTCTATCCATGTAGGTATGGTCACTTACCCTAGGCCCTAGCCCCATCCCCTATCAGACCAAGGAACATCAGACAGAGCCGGGGCCATTGAGTAGGAGACGTCCTCAGTGTTAGACCGAGGCTGCCAAGTCTCAGAAGATATGCTGCAGCACAGCTGCCAGACTCACCCAAAGCAGCAGTTCATCTCTCCCAACAGGGTTTTGCAACATCATAATGATCTCCCTCTGGCATTCAGCTTGGGGCCACTCTGCATTGCCGAGTGCTCCATGTCGGATTCGAACAGTCCGAAGCTTGTGTGGATAATAATCGCCTTTTGCCCTATAAACTATGTTCCTTTGGAGCATCGACATCGTGGGTCAATTCAGCAAAAGTGTTGAGTTCTCCATTTGCAAATCCATTCACCAAAGGAACCCCGAGTGCGGGTAAAAAAACATCATTCCCGGAAAAAAAAAAAACGAAGGGAACCCATGAGTAGAACTCTACTGGATCATCTCTGAGCAAAGGGAAGCTGTTCACTCTCCTTTTGGATCACCCGCAACTCCCAAGTCACAATTTACACCATCGGGCAACAAATAGATTCAAATGGCACAGCGCGAGGGCCAGTAAAAGGCACTGTAATGGCCTATATTGCCCCCCCCCCTACACAACAATGAGGGGATGAATGGCCCCCGTTTGGGTCACAGAAATCAGCAAAACAAGATGCCGCAACCTCTCCTCTCTTCTCCCCTTCCCTTTCCCCTCCCTTTCCTTTTACTCTCCTTCCGTTCCTTCATTTCTCCTTTCCCTCTCCTTGCCTTCCCCTCTCCTGTCGATGTCCTTTCTCTCTCCTCTCCTTTTCTTTCCTTTCCTTCACTGCCCAAGGCCCGGTATTGAAAGATGACAATGATGGTTGAACAAATAGATGGTGCAACTCATGTCCCGTCCTTCCCTTCCCCTTTCCCTTTCCTCTCCCGTGCTTTTCTTCTCCTTTTCCCTCTCCTTTCCTGAAGTCGCCGACCCGAGCTGTAGATCACAGTGCGGAGCATGCAGCCCAACAATTCCAAGAAAGCTGAGAGTAATCTCATGGACCAGAAAGTTTCGATCAAAGCGCCCAAGGCAGTCAATTTCAATTTGCTCGTCCGCCAAAAGGCAAAATAGCCAATTCCTTGCTAATGTGCTACTTCTCAAAGCCTCCCAGCAAAAACTGAAAAAAAAGTGTGCAGTCTTTGTTGGGTTTTTCTGTAGGTACAAAGTACTCAACGAAGGTCCAAGAAGCAATGATCAGTACCAGTCGCAGCGGTGGCCGTGCTGGAGCCTCTTCCACCTCAGCAGCGTCTCTGTCGCACGTGGAGCCAAAACGAACCATCTGTGCATGGAAAACGTCTTGATACCTATAGACTTGCCTACTGTAGACTGACGACTACAGTATCCAGAAGGTTGCTATCCCAAGACTTCCTCAAGTATACTGAGCTGGCTCAGCTTTCGGAAGACCGTTGGCCCCAAAAGGTGGCTCTGAAGTCCAGTTCGAGCAAAGGTCGGTTGGACATAGCCAGTCAAGAAGTGAAGAACAACCTTGCGTTTTTCATGTGTTGAGTCCAAGCTGCATGACCAAAACACTTGGCTTCCTCAAAATCGATTGTCCCAGCAAGAGACCCCAAACAGTGTGTCTAAAGGTCTAAGGCCTACAGGTGTAGAAGCAGAAGGTCTAGAGATCTAGACGCGGGCTCCAGAGAGAGGTGGTGGTGGTGCCCGATGCAACACCTCGATTCAACACCGGCCCTTAACTCCTACCCTAAGAACTCCTAGTGGCAGTGTGACCACACTGTTTATGGAATTGTAGAAACGACTACAGTAGAATCCAGGTGTAGGAAATAGATCAACACAAACCTTTCTGCATGGCCACGCACACAGGCCTGGTTTCGACTATGAGACCCACAGGAGGTAATAAAGTCTTCATCTTCAAACCTCACGTGTCATCACATGTCAAGTGAAAGGGGCTGCCAGGCAGTCACGTTAGTTTCCCCGCCTTCTGCTGACAAAACTCCTGGTGTGTTTCATGGTGTCACATGGTGTCAGCTGATGTCATTGCACTGGCTCACCCCCCCCCCAACTCACCTATGCTGGTCCCAACCAGCCACCCAACCTCATGAGGGTCCCTTCACAAGGCACTTTCCTTAGGGCTCGAAAAGAGGGTCCAAAGGCCAGCTGCAGCTCGATGTGAGTTGACCAGTTGACTGCTGTTCGATGTTTCAGATGAGAGTTCTGGGTTGTGAGGAGGCTTCTGTGTTGTTCTGTCTTGGTCCAGGTTAATCATGAACGTTTTCCAGCTTTCTCCTCACACACAGCCATTGATTCTTTGATTTACCACACAACAACCTCACCAACCGCCTCCCCGGCCGAGCGTCCATCGGCGCACCGCGGAGGTCCACGGCCAGCACGGCACGCGGTGGGCCGAGCACGGCGTCGGCGGCCTGGGTGGAGGATGAGAGGTTGTGTGGCGGGTAGGTTTCATTCAGAATTTAAAAAAAAAGAATACCCTGCCCAAACCAAAAAAAGGGGTTGGTTGGCTTCATGAACAAAAAGCCAACATATCTGAACAGTTGATCTGTCGTTCAATGAGCCGCAGCCCAGTTCCGAACGTTTGACCCAAAGTCTTATCCCAAGGTTTCGTTCAGGCCCTTAGAAATTCAAGTTGATGGACGGTAGAAGGGTAGGACCTACAGAGGAACATGTGGGGTCTTCTGCAGGCACTTGGAAGCATGGCAGGCACCAAGTCCAACAGGAATCGGACATGGTTAAAGAGACTTTGCCGGAAACCATGTCCAATGTCTTAGAGTCTTAGAGAGTTGTATCCAAGACCCCTGTCAAGTAAGTTCTTCAAGGTAACTTGAGAAACTGATACACGCACACACACACACACACACACTCCTCCAATTAACAAGAACCCCCCTACCTAAACCCAAACAGTAAAGGTGTTTGTCCATTTCCAAAAAAATAAGCTCTACTCTGCAGTGGTTTTTGGCAGTACATCCAACATCAAACCATTGAACTTGGTGTCTGTATCTTTCGACACACCCCATGTTTCCAAGCAAAAAAAAACGTCCATCAACCTTGGGTCTGGTAGTAAATAACCATGATTCATGATTCATAAGTATGCGCCTCCACCAAACCCTGGATCTACGCTAGCACCACAAAACCGAAGGCTCGCAAACCGGCGTAGAAACCGAACGCCGGACCTAACGCGTCTGGTGCCTCCTCCTTGTCCAATTTCACGTGTGCGCCTAGGACCTGCGAGTGAGAATGACCACAGGCGTCGAAAATTCGAAATGCCAAGTCGGTTTCCCTGCAAAGTCAATTGCATTGCCCCAGGTGTTTTGGAGGACCTTCCCTCCCGAAAAGAAACCAGTCATTCATTCCTTTTGCGGAAAGCGGCATCGGTGTGCGGCAAACTTCACAATGGGATTTGGATAGCTGACAAGGCTGGACCCATAGGGACAAGATATCCAAAACAACTATCCAATCGAAAAGAGAATGCCAGGAGATGGGTATGGAATCCAAGTTCTCATACCTCCATGGGACTCCCATATTTGCCATGGATCGTATTAGTGTTTCACAGAGGCTCTCCTCACCACGTGAAAATCAAAAAGAAGGGTGGCTTTAAAGGGTCGATGTAGGCACAATACAATGTAGACTATTGATTACATAATGTTTCATTATTAATTATTGTTCAACTTTCAATCCACTAGAGGTTCTCAATGGTTTTGTAAAATGACAGCTTGGGTGGATCAACAGAGGACCGCTTTCTCAAAGAGGTCGACGACGTGGCTCTGTGCAGCTCCCATCCCCGCCTGCAGGGAGGCCAAGCCGGGGCCCGGTGCTGTCACGTCCAGCAACCTGGATGGCTGTGCTGTGGGTGCTGCAAGTGCTCAGAAGAGTTGCCAAAGACTTCGGACTGCTAGGACCAAGCAGGTGAAGCTATCATAACCCCTCCCTGCCCCTCCCTGAAACAAGCATAGAAGGGGAGATGAATGAACTACGGTGAGTAGAGCAAAACCGTCTTCCTTGAAAGGGGCCATGTTCCACGTACTGTAACATTGCTTGTGTTGGAGGGATGGGTGTGTTGGAGGGAGGGTTCCCAGGGAATCTGGATCGCATTGACTTTCGATTCACCCTGTGGTGTGGAGAAGAAACACCATGGCTTCCCCATTCCCAGAGTCCTTTGGCTCTGCAGGTAGGTCAGATCACCAGTGAAGACTCTGGACGGATCACTACGGCGAGAAATTTGGGGAGTGGAGGGCAGAGTTGAGATGTCTAAGGTGAGCTTAGTAAGAAGAACAAAGTACAAAATGATGATGGGGCCTGGTTCCAGGCCTTTCCATCTCAAAAACAGTGACAGCCGTTTTATCGACTGTTACAGGTAATGGGCGTAATGGGACTCATTCAAGATCCAAACAACAAAAACATGTTCAAAAACTGACACCCCCACAACGGGAAAAATAAGAAAACATCTTTTTGATGGACCTTTAACCCGATTCTACCCACGTGCCACGTGCAACTTTCAGATTTGGAACCAAGAATCTTTGGGTTCGGGACCTCATCAAGGAAACCATCCATACAAGGGATGAAAGAACGAATCCACCGCAACGCCCACAAAAGAAAACTTGGATTTGGGGCAATCTCCCACTCTTGCAAGTTTTCGGGCTGTCACCTGCTTCTTTCAATCCTTTCCCAAAACCCTCCCCGCCTCCCCTCAGTCCTCCCGGCCTCGCCATCGCCGCTCGGGTCCGCAAGGGGTCCGCGGGGCTGGCCACTCTGGAATTTGTTCGATCTGTTGTTGGAAACCTGTGGGGTCGGGCGAGGTCAGAGACAGAGGCGTTCCGAAGCAGAAACAATGTGAAGTGGTGATGCTGAGCTGCCCGGTGAAGTTGGTCAGAAATTATTGAATCATATGGATCTTGATTGGAAGCGTGTTTGGATCTTGATTGGAAGTCTGTTTGAATTTGATTGGAAGAAACAGTGACTTTCTGGGTGAGGTGAGGCCGGGTCTAATTCTGGTTGTTGGTCTGTGCTTCACAGCCATGCATCCCGGATCACACGTGGGGCCGTTCTGCTATTCACATCCATTCATGTTGGGAAGATAAGAAACATGAGGGTAACTCTCAGAGTACGAAGCAGAACACATTTCCTTTTCCTGAGAATCTGAGGCCTATATCCAAGCACCTGCCAGCCATGTAAAGAAGCCCGGAACAGTCAAGCTGCGCATCAAAAAATACAAAAACAAGTGAAAGACCTTCACGAAAGGTGAACTTGGCAACTACTGCTCCTGGTCCTTGCTTAGTGTGGCCACCGGCATGACTACGTGGTGGTCATCTAAACTAGAACTATACTGCAGCTGGCCAAAATCACAGCCTCCCAGTGCGTCTGAGACACGTTGAGCTCTTGCCCGGCCCAGTGAAAGCTCAAGCTGAACGCTGTTTCGGCGAGCGAACGGCACGGCGAGTGAGGCTCAGAGGAGTGTGGCATGGCACTGAACAGCAAGACTGACAAAGCCTGACCCAAGGATTAGAGGACTGGAGGACGCCACTGGCGGCCCCTCTTTGGATGGCTTTTCGGAGGGCCCAGCGAAGTCATTGTCTTAATTGAAAATGGTATGCGGATGTATGCATTGATGCTGGATAGACCATGGGTATAAGTGGGTCCCCAGCCACATTGGCATTGGAACTCGTCCGTAGTTCCTGAAGGTTGCCCAAGCAGCCATCCACATCTGACCAAGCAGCCTCCGACAAACACCGCTTGCCAAACGAAAACATGAACTCCACTCTCGCTGGGACGACACAGAGCCGCAGTAGATCACCACCCAGAGACGATGGGTCAAAGACCCCAAACATGAGAATGAACTACTCAACAGACCCCACGTGCACGTGCGACCGCGTGATCCTATGCAAAGTGCGTTTTTTTGACTTGAAGGCATCATGTAGACTCTTTGGTTGATCAAAAACCCGAAGAAGCGCTACCATCCAACCGGTTTTTTTGGTCAATGAAGAGTCTACGTTAATGCAACCTGATGAAGTATCACCCGGACATAGTGATGAGTTCGGCCCCATTTTCTATTTACGGTGTTTTATGATGTTTTGTGGGTCAATGTAGGTGTATGTTCCAGTCCCATAGACTCAGGGTGCAATCAGGATCCATCATCCACATCGACCACACGCGCGCGCGCGCTGCTCCGCTGCTCCTTGCGACAACCGGGCCTGAGAGGTGGAAGGTCCCACGAGGAGAAGGGGATCGGTGGTGGAGAAGGGCGGAGGGCGGACGAAAACATCAATCTGTCTGGGCTTCAAAAACTCTCTTTTTTTGGGGCTTCAAGAGAGATTGACTGCATGTGGGTGTGTGGTCAACCCCAAATGAGAATGGCCTTATTAGACATGGTAGAGATGGATCCACCGGAGTCCTTTGTTCCTGCTTAAGACGAGTTTTGTTCAAGAGAATGCTCATGATTGGTATGTTCAAGAGGATGCTAAGCTGCTAAGCTTCCACAACCAAACCATTATTGGCGTTTACAGCCAAACGGCAAAACTCTAGCCTCGTAGTTTGCCGGTTTGGTCGGAACATGAACCAAACCAAGTCACACAGAGCTTCAGGATCCTCTGCCCCCCCGTTGTTGAAAAAGCACACCACCCAAACAAAAACAGCCGCTCCGTCACCACTCCCTCCGCGCCTCTTCTCGCCGCCGTTCCCGTCGGCGCCGTCGGCGCCGGCGGCCTTGTCGATGGCGGCCGCCTGAGCCTGATTGTTGGCCGCCAGCTCTCCAAGGTCCTCTGCCCGACCACTGGCGAAGCGAAGCGAAGCGAAGCGCGGTGTTTTTCCGCGGAATTCTCTGGCACCAACGGGGCGGTGCTATGGGGATTTCGTGGGGGGGGAAAAGGAGGGTGTTTCTTTGGTGGTCTGCAAAGGCAAACGTAGAGCAACGAGGAGGGTCGAAGTGCGGATGTTGTGGTTGTTGAGACCGAAGGTGTTGTAAAGAGAAAGTGAGACCAGTGGGAGGATGCAGGATCTAGCTTGAAAGCTCAAAGATGGAGTGCCACCCAGTCGCTGGGAAAAGGGAAATGCCCCCCCAAAAAGAGTTACAAACCCTCGAAGGTTAAGCCTATATTAGAGAGAAATCAAAAAAAGGACATCAAACGTCACTCAAAAAGAGTCCAAAAAAACATCCCTCCAAGTACAGTATGTTTTTTTTTTCCGGCCATCACCCCAAACCCACACCTCCAGGTTTCTTGAACTCTCACAGATTCGTGCACTGAGTACACGTGGCTCTCACAGATGCATCTACACAGTCTATACTGATGGAGCATGTCTGACGGCAGATGGGTGGATGTCTTGGACATTCTGGATAGCATGCCTCAAAACCAGGAACCATCCACTCACTTTAGAGACGAAAAACATCTAAAAAAATTCTACAAACATCTAAAACCCACCCCCCTTTCCCGCCCTGACTCTGACTGCAAAAACAATAGCGGCTCCCTGGCGCCACGGATCCATGGCCCAACTTTCCGCACGATGCGCCCGCTGCCTCGGTGGAGGCGCCTTCCGGCAGCGGCGGGCTCAAGGGCGGCGCCTCGCGCCGAGCGCAGCGCGTGCGCGGAGGAGTCGAGGGCGCCAAGGGAGTTGAACCAGCAAAATGAACCTTGTTCAACGTGGCATGGCTTAAATCCTTGTAAGGAGTCCAACATTGAATGGTGAAAGGCATTGAAGGTCGAAGCTACATCTGCCCAGTGGGGCGGACTCTTGTTTCGATCGGCCACCCATTTTTGTCCTTGACCGTCTTGGAAGAACTGTATGAAGCTTTGGCATTTCCACTGACTGTTTTGGCCTTTGTTGTGGCCGCTTTGGCCTTTGCACCGCCTGCTTGGGGCTGGGCTAGCCGCGGCTTTGGGTGTAGCCACGGCCTCGGCAGGTTTCTTCAGGGTTGGTACTTCAAGCAACACTGCGTCCTGCTCCTCTTCTGGCTCCACCGACGCATCCAGCATTTGAGCTTTCTTTGCATCCAGCGGATCCCCAAACACTTGTGGTGTTTTCGCAGACATGGGCAGCTCTGCCGAGGGTCGACCGACTTTAAGAAGATCTTTGGTCTTGCAGGCAGACCCTGCTGGAAACCTTTCAGTAGAGCCAGATGCAAAAAGGTTCCTGCCTTGATTCATCATTTGCATGTTCATCATGTGCGTGTTGTGCATGTAACTCAAGTACTGATGGGGTAGCATGGGTTGACTCTTGTCAGCGGCGAGGTCCAGGTGTCTCGATGACCTTAGCAGAGCCTCGCAAAGCCTCGCAGGGTGACGTTGTGGCACAAGATGACTGCTTCATCCAAGTTTGCCGGAGGGTCAGCATCTCCATATGCATCAGCAAAACCATGGTAGTTGAGCACGGATCATCTGGAAACTCCGTCCAATATGATGGGAAGAATCGGCTCTTTAGGTCCATCCCACACGATCCCAAGAGAGTCAACTTCCAGCCGCTCTTCACGATTGGTCGCCCGCAACTGTCAAAAGGCAGGTTATTGCCATACCTTCTGTATTCTGTTGGTAATCCCTCAGATACATGCGTGTCATGTTTCGTGAGTTGCCCCATGAATAGGTAAACGAAGAGTGATCCTGCAGACTACAAACCAAGCGTGAAACAAAGCTTATATTAGAGGACAAGAAAACAGAAATTGATGTGATAACTGGAGGCATGAAAGCTAGAGCAGTTAGTGTCTAGTTTGACCGCTCGTGTCTTTAACGTGCTGAAGAGTTTCACCTGACATCTTGCTCTCTCTCTCTCTCTCTCTCTCTTTACCTGCATTTTGCTCGGTCGATCTTCTGACCTGGTCGATCTCGTTGTGGTTTCTGTCCTAAAAGAGGGGCGAGCGCTGGCAAGCAACCTGGAATTGATCCACGCACTCAATTGGGTTACCTGGGTTTTTCCCACTGAACATAAACAGGAAAGGACAACCTACAGGAGGTCAACCCGGGCGAGTTCTTGTTCCGGGCGCGGCGCAACGGGGGGCCATGAGCGTTGAGCCAAGTCCTCTTTTGGTGAATCAGACCATGGGCCAAAGCCGATCACCCCCATCAACACCTCGATCCAACAAACGTTAAGAGAATGCAATAGACTATACATACAGTCTGTCTGCCCCAACGTCCGGATCTCGGGGTACCTCACCTGTTTTGATCTGAACAAGGACCCTCTACACCAACTAAACATGCAGGACCAAAGGTGGATGCCAGGAAAATGACGAACATGGGCTTTGCTATTCTTTCATCATATTCTTTCACCGCGCAACCCTTGGAAGCGTCCAACCACGACACCGATTCCACAGTTTTCCATCCTCCACGCGCGACCCACCGGCGCAGAAACGTGCTGCCCACGTGCTGTCGCTCTCCGCGGCCTGAGCGGCTTTGGCTTCCCGAAAGGCAGCACCTCGCAGCACCGAAGCGTCGGACCACCCCGACCGGACCCGAGGACCCGAGGACCCGAGGACCCGAGGACCCGAGGACTCGAGGACTGAGGACGGCGGTTCTTTTTGTGGAGCAAAAGAAACGCGAAGTGGAGACATAGGCCAGGTGTCGTCAAGTTGGTAGATTGGATCAAGGTAATGACCGAATGACCTATATAACGGTTGTGGACAAGAAGGTGTGGATTGAACTCTTTGCCATCAATTTGCCATGCGTCCCATTCAGCAAATCTCTACCATGTGAAAAGGTGCAAGAAACCACTGACTCAAGAATCAAATGTCTGTCTGTCAACAGTTTGTCTCAATTCCCGCAAAAAAATCAAGAAGAACATAGAAGAACTATAGTGTAACCAGTGAGCGGATTGACGTTCAGAATCAGAATCAGAAGGCTAGGCTTCGCTCTCCTCTTCCATGAAGACTTCTCCCCCCAACAAACCACACATCGGTTCGTCTCTGATCCCTTCACCCGCCGGGGCGCCCAATTTTGAATGATCGAAGTCGCTCTTGGCGTCCCCCTGGAGCGGGCGGAGGTACCGGGCTGGTGTGACTTCTTCACCGGGCCATGTGACCTACCTAGTACCTTGGGAGGAGCTCATGGCCCTGATCACCCAGGTGTAGACCTAGCACTGCTGCACACCTGAGCTGCTGCACACCTTTTAGCCTCAGCTTCACACTTTGCCGGGAGTTGTTTCATCAGAGCTTCATGGAGTTGTTTCATCCACAACATGCCAACAGGCAAACATCGAAACCTCGGTTCAGGTGACGGTTTAGGCCAAGGCGATGCTGGCGGAGGGAAAAGCGATTCCCCCCACGTCACTCAGCACGGGTTGACCCAAACCACCACGTGCGGACGTTGCGATCCAGTCCACCCCTCTCAGCAGTTCCACCCTTTTGGGGGCGCTGCTGATGGTGTTCTGCGTGTGAAAAGATGGGGGGGCGCACCCCCCACCCAAACTGGGGAGTTTTGAGGAGGATGAACCCGAAGCTATCTCGTTGTCCAATGAACATCACACCACGAACGCGTCCCATGCATGCCTTCAAGCTACTCGCCAGCTCCTGCTCCGAAGGTCGCGCACGACCGGGTCC